CTTAATTCTTAACTGGCATGGAGGTGCCGATTCCTTGCAGCTTTACCCTTTCAATCCGATTTCGATTACAGCATCTCGAATTTGAGGGGTTATCGATTTTGTTGATCTTCGATCTGAGGCAGAGCTTTTTTATGTTTTTTGGTAAACAACTACCGAACACGTGCGTTCACAGCTACTACTGTATATGATGTGTGACGTACAAATGAGTTGTGGTAAGTCAGTGAGTCAAATACGAGTTATGAGATTGTTGACAAAAATACTGATTACGTCCGCTGGCTTACATGGATTTTAGTTACATATTATATTAATACTATTCACTTAACTCTCACTAGACTAATTATTAAGTAAAACGCTTCTCATGCCCTTTCAACTCAAACCAAGACGATTCGCGCTAAAATATATACCATAGTGGTTCATAATCGTATCACCAGTACCTAATTACATTTCCGATCCTGCGGACAGAATGGAAAGCAGTCGACGTCGCCCAAAACACGTCATCTCGGATCCTCCCGATCCACTAACGGTGCTTCTAGGTACTTCAAGCACCGGTCACCGTTCTCGTCGAACCCGTCGCTTGCGACGAAGGGCTCGACGAGTAAATTAACTCTCAGACACAGCCCACTGAGTTTCTCGTCGGATCTTCTCAGTGGGACGCGTTTGCGATCCGGTGGTAGATTCTGCGAAGCACGACTCTTGCTAGGGTTCGTGTTAGCATCGTCGTCAGGTTTGAGCCCCGTGAGCTCACCTACTAGTTACGGTTACGCTGGAATAGCCGCTCCAGGCTACCAGCTTAGGTAGGAAAAAAAAAGTACCTAATAATGAAGATTTCTAAATTAAGTGGGTTTCTTACTTGTTGCGCGATATTATTTCTATAGCGCGGAATTCGTTCATAAACTGTACGATGGGTGCGTATTTGTCAAGAAAAAAAAGTAGCTTAATTTATTGCCCACGTAGGTAAACGAGCATACGGCCCACCTGATGATGAGAGGTTACCGTGGCCCATGGACGTCAGCAATGCCAGGGGCAGAGCCAAGCCGCTGCCTATCGTTAGCTATACGTGTCAGGGCGTTATCTTTGATTTTCGTGTCACTCGTGACCGCGTGAACTGTAAATTATTCAAATTTTCGGAAATAATATAAGTAATTACAATTAATAAACAATAAAAAAACCCGCGATATTAAATCGTAAAAATAGTTTTCTTGTCAAGGTTTTAGTCGATTTAGACCAAAATTCCTACAGCAAATTTTTTGATGGATCTTATCCAAATTATTATTTGATTGGTGCTTAAAAAAATAGCCATTAGCAATGTATTTATTACCCATTATCGGCTTCTTTGTAGATTCATTATCAACGGCAGTCATTCGTAAGTTTTAGTAATTAAAAAGGCAAAATTGTGACGTATGTATTTTAATAAGATAAATACGCGGAAGCGACAATTAAGAAAACGATGTACTGGTTAGTACAATCATTGACTTCTTCAACACATCAATTTATCTATTGCAGAATTTATGCATACGTTTAGTGAAATCTTATACCTTTAAACGAGCATTCCTGGAAAATTAATATATATGTATATAATCTGAATTTCGAAAACGGCTCCAACGATTTTCATAAAATTTAGTATACAGGGGATTTCGGGGGCGATAAATCGATCTAGCTACGATTTATTTTCAGAAAATGTTGTTTTATTCGTGTTTTCAATAATCAACTTTTCCCGACATCTATTGGCGAATAATAATACTATTTTTCTTAATTGATAGCAACTAACGGCTTTAAAGACACAACAAGATGGCCATGGTCGTCATCTAGTTTAAATTATAAGCCACATTTAATTTGATCTTTTGTTTTGTTTTTCCTTTTTTTTAAATTGTATTATAGTGTATACCACGTTTTAAGTCTGTACACACGTACCTAACCTTGAATCCCGCAATAAGCCAAAGGGGAAGGGGGGTGGCTAAAAATCAGCGCTGTTCGATTCATTTAGTTAGAACAGCATTAACTGGGCCACCCCTTTTGCTTGTTATTTTCCTTTTCTTTTATCTATCTAAATGTATTAATCTGAATCGGTGTGAAAGACAATTATTTTATTATTATTAAGCTATTGCATAGATTTTATCGCGGGCTTTGAGCGCGCCGACTGAATCAAGAAATTCCGTAACGAAAATAACCTGACACCCCCAATACGCCTACTATGTAGCTCGCGTTCAACACATTTACACGTTGCGCTTGTGTAGTGTTTGTGAATAAGCGCGTGGCGTGACGTCACACTGCATGCGCATCATGAAAAGTCTGCCCATCTCTCTCTCGCGCGGTCTAGCTTATGAGTGTGAAGGGGACAGTTAATGTTTTACTTTTATTAATGTTTAATATAGCGTGGTCTTGTTTTATTATTGTTTTAATATTAAATTATCATTGTCTAATTATAATTGCATAAGTTGATAAAAAATGCTATGCAATAGCTTTACCGCGACAGTTCCCGAGTGCCACACGGTTTTTTATTTGTTTAGAGCGTGGACTGTATTTTGGTGCTAGCGTCAATAAAAACTATCTTCAGAGCAAAGCATTTTTTATTTTTTAATGTACAACACGTGCACGTAGGTACGACCAGATTTTTTTGTAACTACCACTAACTGTGTTGCCATACTTATTAGTGTTCCTACATTTAAAAAAAAAAACATCTAAAATTTTATGTTTAGAATTGCCCTAAACATTATTTAATTATTGTTTGGCCGTTGAGAGATTGCGTCTGGGGCGAAATAACTCCGGTTAAGTTTCGGTTAACATAAAATTTAATGATGTTATAAATTTCAATTTGACACAGCGGTTTGTTTTTCAATGATATAATCATTCGTTAACTGAGCAAATAAATTGGATTTAAAAAAAAAATCGCAATCTAAACACTACTAACTTAAACTACGGTGTTAGTTCCATCAAGACCCGCCATCAACGGATCCGGCCACTGAAACTATAGTACTTAAAAACTATAGTATAACTACAGTCACTAACAAAACACACCCATTTAAAAATTACTTATTTACTGTTCAGTTTTATCGTTCTTATTCAATTTACTTATTTAAAACCAACAGTCAAAGACAACAATTGAGCAATTTTTTATACATCACGCTACCAAAAGTTTAAAGCAAATTGTATATTGTAAGTAAATAAAGACTGATGCTACATATGTAATTAAAATCTTGAATTATGAGATAAATTCAAAATCAGTTTTAATTTCACTATATACAAATTAAAGATAGAAAAACTTGTTGAATTATAGTACTATGAATTACGCTTTATGTAATGGTGTTTGTTTGGTAACATGTGAGAAAGTGGAGTGTGATCCTGTGACCTGTAATCTGTACTGGTTCCGATACTAATTATTGGGTCCTCAAGTCTCAAATTAAATTAAAAAGTTAAACACCAATGTGAATATGAGCGTCCATTGATTCCGCTTTTAAGTCTTGCAAATACTTGTATATACTGTTTGATTTATAGTTTTATTCTTTGGTATGGAGCACTCAACTGTTTAAATAAAAACAAATGAAATATTGAGGAACATGTCCAAAATTCAATCTAATGAAACATTTTCACTGTTGTATAAGAATTTAATTATAAAACATAGAAATATTCACTGAAACAACTATTTACTTTCAACACATAACTTTTTCAAAGGAGGTTCACTATGATCATCACTATTTATGCACAAAATATCATTAGTTAACTTAATGGTAACACGCATCATCTCCTTCTTTGGAGACACATTACGTACATCAAAAACTTCAATTATATTCTTTGAGATATCAATGGCAATATTTTCACAGACCATTTCTTTTGCAATTTCCTTTGTAGCCGCAAAACAATAAACATAAACAATAATTTCATTTTTCAAATTATTTACATTCTCACTACGCACCAAACCCTTGAAATATTTCAAAAATTCAACTGCCAATCCTGGTAGATTCATGGTAATTTGTATTCGAGAGCTATCATCGAGCTTTCTTTTTTCATTACATAGATCTAATAAATAATCTTTGAGCACGGTTAAAATGAATTCCTTACCATCCATATTGTATGATTTGAAGTATTGATTTTTTATTTTATTTTTCTCTGCATTATGGTTCAACCATTTGTATGATTCAGGATTCAGGTCGTTTGCATAAACAATGGTTTTGCGTTTCGCTGCTGGTATCGAGAATGGTCCAACTCCACAGAAGATGTCAAATAAGACATCGCCTTGTTTCAAATAACTCAGTATTCTTTCATGCTCTTTACATAATCTTGGATTCCAGTAAACTTTTGAGAAATCAAAGTGGAAATTACATTGATTTTCTTTGACAGTAACAATATAATCTTCGTCCCCTGCTAAAAGTTCCATGCTGAAGTTGCGATATGTATTATTTATAGTGTTACTTTTATTGACTACAGTCCGACATGACTTTATTTTGTCGAGCAAGACTTCACCAATCAAGAAACGATAATCAAGTAAATGATCTCGTAAATTCAAGTGAATGATGTGTCCGATGTGTGAGAAACTGCTTAGTTTTTCTTCATTTTCAGGTAAAACAGCATTGAAAATGATGTCAAAACTCCAATTATCGTATGTCAGTTGTATTTCTTGAGTATTAAAGTTGGATTCGTTGACCTCGAAGACGGACATGTCCTTCCGAACATTTTCTTCAATATCAGTCCAACTGTTTATAGTATCAGGGTTCAAGTAAATGTTTTTTTTGGACTCCTCTCCGTCCAGCTTCGAGCTCTGTACCGGCTTGAATCGTTCCAGTTTTAAAAAGTAAGACTTGCAGAGTGGTGTAATTTTCGCCAATGTCTGTTCACTGACCTTCAACACTGGCACTTTGATGTTACGCAAGAATTTTGAGCGGTCAAGGACCTTCATACCACGAACATTGAGAGGAACCAAAGAGGAAGTCATTGTATGTAAAAGTCTAATGATTAATGTAAAAGTCATGTGAAAATATCTACGCAAGATTCATCGCAATACTAACCTATGATCAGATTAGATACGGTTCTCCTCTGGTGCACAACTCACTGAGACAATTTTTATTTAACGATTTCACTGTTTTGTACAAATTTTAAGTCCGAAATCCTTTTTTTAATATTTAACTTTTGTGGTGAAAGTAATTTTTAAGTATTACAGCCAAAATATTATCTTTTGTCAAGTTGACGTTTGTGATTTTGACATTGACAGGAAAAGCAATCTAACAGCTCCATAAACTTATAAAGTAGGTTTCGTATGTATATGGAGTTATTATATGGTTTCGTACTTCAGTGAACAACTCCCACATGTTTTCATTTCTTTTAACTTTGGCCAAAGGATTTATGTTAATACTGTCTTCGGTTTTATTTACCGTTTTACGAACTTGTGATATGTATCAAAGAAGAAGTATCAAGAAATTGTGAAATTGTGTGAAGAGCAAAAAAACCGGTTCATTTTATAAAATTTATTTATTGCTTAGATGGGTGGACGGGCTCACAGCCCACTTGTTGTTAAGTGGTTACTGGAGCCTATAGATATCTATGACGTAAATGCACCACCCACCTTGAGACATAAGTTATAAGGTCTCAGTATAATTACAACGGCTGCCCACCCTTCAAACCGAAACGCATTACTGCTTCACGGCATAAATAAGCAGGATGGTGGTACCTAATTAATACTTAATTTCTAAATGTTCTAAGTGGTAATTAATTTCTAAAAGAGATATGTTATTTTATTTTACTTATATAAACATAAAATACGCAATATTTATTTTGAACTCGTCGTGGTCTAAAGGATAAGATGTCCGGTGCATTCGTGTTGAGCGATGCACCAGTGTTCCAATCTTAGGCGGGTACCAATTTTTCTAAGGAAATACGTACTCCACAAATGTTCATAATTGACCTCCACGGTGAAGGAATAACATCGTGTAATAAAAGTCAAACCCGCAAAATTATAATTTGCGTAATTACTGGTGGTAGGACCTCTTGTGAGTCCGCGCGGGTAGGTACCACCACCCTGCCTATTTCTGCCGTGAAGCAGTAACGAGTTTCGGTTTGAAGGGTGCGGCAGCCGTTTTAACTATACTGAGACCTTAGAACTTATATCTGAACCACTTAACACCAGGTGGGCTGTGAGCTCGTTCACCCACCTAAGCAATAAAAAAAAATTGTGTTGCTTCTATATTATTCAAAGGAAATTTGTTCCTACCTGGTGTCTTATGACACCACTTCTCTTTTTTGTCATTATTTCACTGCCACTCATCACGATTAAAATTCACGCGCGTATCGTGAGGTCGCACGGGTAAGTGTTAACATCACGCCTATGTCTTCTTCTTCTTGAAAATTCACACAAAATTATTGGGATTCCGTCAACGAAAAGCTGGAATAGCCTCTTAAGCTACCATCGAATAGGTAAGAAAAATAACTCTGAAAAGTTCTATTGTGTTTCTCACGACAACATCTGAGATTATTTTCAATAGCTTTATAGTACATATTTCGGTCTTATTTGTTTGTAGTTTCTCTTATTTGTTGTGGACTAAGGCATTTCGATTGAGACCAACGTTGCGTTAAGATTCAAAAGGATTGACGTTATTCAGATGCAGTTCAAAATTTCGGTGCTAGTTTCAATGTGACAGCAACATTATGATATCTATTGGGTAAAAGTTATCGCAAAGTCTAAGATGCGATTTAAGTTTTATAGGCACTGATTTTAGCGTGATATTTTTTATTAAAAAAAACTTCAGAGGTGTCAAGGGACACCCGGATGGAACGAAGTTCCTTTCGATTAATTAGTGAAGGAATTGTAATTTTTTTTTTAAGTTATAATAATAAATTACGGCATTATGAAGAAGAAAAAAACAATACTGTGAACTAAATTACTATTGTTGAAACGCTATCTCGAGAAACTGTACTCATTACGCGGACCAATCGGATACGAGCAATGTCACGCGATAAGCGCGTACACGTTGATTGGTCAGAATGACGGATCTAAAAAGTGTCGTGACAACTTTTCGTAAGAATTTTTTCCGTCTAGCCCCCTTTCACAACGCGCGATAAGGAACTTCGTTCCAAAAACCAGTTCGGTCATGTCCCAAAGAAAACCTGAATTCAACGGTAGATCGGAAAGGCATTTTGTTTTTATAAAACAAAATTGGACACAAAGAAGACGCAAAACTTGTTAATAATAAATATAAAAACAATAATTTCTAATTACGAGGCACTTCGAAGAAAGCCATACATCGTATTTAAGACGACAGATGTTGGCTCAAAGGAAATAGGTTGCTTTACGAAGGACCCGAATCACAGATGACAAAAACTTTTTAGGAATTAAGATCCTTTTGTTTTCTTAGTAAAGTTACGCGTGGCCAATATCGATGTCTATGAGCGCCATAATGTCTTATAAGGATATGTCTTGTAAATAGTTAAATAGAAAATAGGGTAGGTGTCCCAGAGGTATGAATTGGCATTTTTTTTTTGGCCCAGCAGTCATGGCGCCTACGATCCCCTGCTTGGCGTTCTTTGTCCTTTGTGAGTGGTGGGGAGACATGCGCTACTCTTGAGATGCGCTATCTTGCCTGTCGCCTGTCTTGGTTGAGGTTAATCACATCCGATGCTCGCGAACGAGTTGTTGAATGTCAGGCAGCTTTGGCCGGTTTAACTCCGATATGTCCCGCCTATCCACATTTCCAACACGTAGGGAGCTTCGGCGATTTCCTCATGAGCTAACAAAATGAGTTCCAGTGGTTGCTCATTCTACACATATAGAGCAGTAAAGCCTTCTTGGGAATGATAGACCTGAAATTGAAAATAATCAGGATAAAAAATACTTGGAGGTAAATTCTTATGATCGCACGAATCCGCGACATCGAAATCACTTTTACATTTAACACGTCGCGTTTCATCTTCCTATATCCACCGTTTCGAATACTTTACAGTTTTCGTGGTCACTGACGATATTGTCCAGTTAACTTGATCCTTTTCGGCGCGCACTGCGGTACCGTAAGTTTCGTGTAGTCGGTGTGGTGGAGCTCAATGGGGCCTAGTCTGTAGTTGGTTCTGCGGGGCAAGTGCTTCGCGCGCCTTTTTCCAGGCGTAGTCTCCTGTGAGAAATTGGAGGAGGCAAAGGAACTCGGCCCTTCTCTTTTCCCCTTCTTCCTCTCAGGAGGTACCGGAGTCCGACATAGCCCGGTCCGTTACCCCTCTCGACCGGGTATCCGTAAATGGATTCACCAGCGTTAAAAAAAAGTTAACTTGATCCTCGAAGTTCTGAAACTGAGATGTATGTGACAGATTTCGAAAAGGTGAACGTCAAACCGGAAACGTATTAATAAAAAACGAACTGTATGTACCAAGGTGAAACAAACGATATTTTTCAGTCGATAAACACACATCAAGCCCGCATCAGTCTCCCTGGGGCGGGATCTCATCTGGCGCAGTTAACTGCCGCGTAATGGTGTTTTTATGATTTTTCCCCCAAACATCAACCGTTCACAACCACACAGTTCATGTTTACGTTAGTAATCACATTTTCTGGTACTGTGAGGTGAGTCTACACTGGTTAGGTATAATGCTTCTTTATTCTCTTCATTTGATGGTTGGGCGAATGAGTTCTTTTTTTTTTTTATTGCTTAGATGTGTGGACGAGCTCACAGCCCACCTGGTGTTAAGTGGTTACTGGAGCCCATAGACACCTACAACGTAAATGCGCCACACACCTTGAGATATAGTTCTAAGGTCTCAGTATAGTCACAACGGCTGCCCCACCCTTCAAACCGAAACGCATTACTGCTTCACGGCAGAAATAGGCGGGGCGGTGGTACCTACCCGTGCGGACTCACAAGAGGTCCTACCACCAGTAATTACGCAAATTATAATTTTCATTTTCACTAATTTTCATTTTCAAATTATAATTTTTATAATTCACTTTCCATCTGGTATCCAAAGCCCATAATGCCATCACAAAGTGAATGTCACAAACCCACCTTGAGACATGAGGTATCAGTATCAATTGAATAGTACAAAGAGTGCACGACAGAAATAGCTAGGAGCGTTGATACTCCCGATACGACGTCCTTCGGGATAATCCCGGAGATGAAATCCCGTCGTATCATCAGGATGGGTACCAACGAAGACGAACTATCGGCGCGCATATTCCTTCATCGTGGAAGTCAATTATAATCATGACTGTAGAAATTGAAATTGATACAATATACAAGAATATGATACATTAGAAAAATTGATACAAGCATATTGGTTTAAGCCACGACGACTTCTGACCTACTGAACTCGATGCCACTGTGGTAGCCCCTCTGTTGTTTTCGCTGTGATTTATTTGCGCATTGTCGAATGTATGAGGTGTTTAGAACCGAGATCATCTTCCTTTTTAACCGAGCAGGAAAATATATAGGAGATATACGAAGGCGAAGTTGAGCAAAACGACATTTGGATTTACTCGAGGCAAATTAGAAATCTAAATAATCTTTTTTGCATCAAAAGTTTCGTGTTGGTATTCAAATTTTTTTTTTGTGTTTGATTATATAATTGGTAATTAAATGGTGGTTATTTGAAATTTTTAATTAAAATCTTTATAATCTTATCTGAAACCTTCATATTAAGAAAAAAAGGTTATTTATGTATTTAGGTTTCTTAATTTCTCATGATGTCATGACAGAGAAGTCATTTACCCACTCCTCAGATCAAGTATAGTTTATTTAAAAAAAAGAGGCACGTTTTAGTTTCCAACATCTGGCTTATATGTACAAATATAGAGTCCGAGTCGACGACAAGTGTCTTTTTTAAATGTAACACAATCAACGCGAGATGAAGCATTAAGTGTTTTATTCTAAGTTCAAATGTAGATCAATGATTGATAAATAAACCGTCTTCGTCGATTACGACAAAAATTTTGACGAGCGAATTAACCCATAGACATCGCCTACTGAGTTTCTCGCCGGATCTTTTCAGAAGGTCGTCATTCCGATCCGGTGGTAGATTCTGCTAAGCACTGCTCTTGTTAGGGCTAGTGTTATTAAATTCTCTCAGATTGAGCTCACTTACCAGTCCGCCAAAAGCTGTAATAGAGGAAAAAAAAACTCAGCCTTTATCTTTGAATTTAATCTCACATGCTTTGACAAGATTATTTTTAGATATTTAAAAAAAAAAGACCCTTGTTCAACATTACCGTTTCCACGCAGCCCTTGTGGCTCGAAGGTTAGGATTCTGCGTTTAGACAGACGATATAAATGACGTGTCCAACGATGCCTCTAAGTATATCACAAACACGGCAGCCTGTTTAAACTCGGGCCCTGTGGAAACTCATCCCGGCATTTGTACACTCGGCTCGGTAAATGTTTGTTCGGACCGATATTGCACGCCACATGACGTTTTTGCCGCTGCGTCTGTTTGATATCATTTCCTTTTTAGTGACTTTTCATCTCGATTTGGAACCGTTTGCCGTGTAACGATTGTTTGTGTAACGTGTTTCGCATTCGTTCATATCAGGGCTCGGGATCTCTTTGTCTGCGTGCAATCAAAACGCTTTATGACCCTTGAAGATCTTTGTAATGAATTTCGTTCATATATTTTTTAGGTATTGTTGTTAAAGGATTTGCTTGTGAATGAAATAATAATAGCCTCTATGTATGTTTAGTAAATACAAACTTACCAAAACTACATTTACTGGTCGAAATTCTTCATGAATCAATCGAGGATGTCACCGATCTTTGAAAAGTCAAAAGACTGTCATTTGCTCGGAAATCGGAAAACAGAAAAAAAAATGTCATCAAGTTCTTCGAACTATTCCGAAGTTCCGCAAATTGAATCCATTTACGAAAACCCTAAATCGTCTTCATCGGAAGAGCCTCCGATAGAAGAATGGTCATCTTTATACCTTGGTACTCCACCGGACAGTCCAAAGATGGTTCTCTACAAACAAGGACTTTACGATCCGGGAAGTGGAGAGATCTGTGCGAAATATATCGGTTTGTCGGACAGTGAAGTGTTCAGACATCCATACAGTTCATACCCTCGCATCAAAGATCCTGGGATAGAAACGTCGTTATTGGACCCAGGTATTTAAATTTTAAGGGGCAAGTGGACAGAGGAACTCATAACCAAGTTTTTTGTCACGAAGTATTCTAGGGTACTCAATCATTACAATAGAATTCAGATTTCAATCTTATGTATTAAAACTCTAAATGAATGGATGAGCTTACCTTGTGTCGTGTGCCCGCTATGCATCTTGAGGCATGAGTCAATTGTATTTAAAAGGGCTTTCCCACCTTTGAAATCGGAACGCATGACATTTTTTTGTTTGCTTCTCGGCGAAAGATGCACGAGACGATGGCGCTTATCCGTGTAGGTTTACAATACGTCCTACCACTTCTTATCACGCAAGGTTATAAACTTTTCGAGTTATGGTTATTCTTTCCTTGTGGAAATCATTTGTACTTTTTAATTTTTTTTAGGTTTTATTTCTAAACATACCATGTGTTTGTCAGTATTTGAATAATCGCATAAATTCATATGAGTTTAATTCACCAGATCACAGATTTTTACACTGCTTACTCGTCCGGCCAGCATCAGCTTTTTATTGCTTAGATGGTTGGACGAGCTCATAGCCCACCAGGTGTTACGTGGTTACTGGAGCCCATAGACATCTACAACGTAAATGCGCCACCCACCTTGAGATATAAGTTCTAAGGTCTCAAGTATAGTTATAGCGGCTGCCCCACCCTTCAAATCCAAACGCGTTACTGCTTCACGGCAGAAATAGGCAGGGTGGTGGTACATACCCGCGCGGACTCACAAGAGGTCATACCACCAGTAAAAAATGATATGCTTCTAGAAATTACACATTTTGTGCGGCCACGCTTAATTTGCTTTATAGCGATATCATTTAATATTCGGTATTCGTTTTGTAAATTATAAAATACAATTTGTTTGATTCTCGACGTCTTTAAAATTGGGATTTGACATTTCTAGAACCTCAAATACTTTTAAATTTGAACGGTCAAGATCTTTATTTGGACTTGTGTGAGAAAATGGGCTTGATCCCAGTGCGAGGTTTCCACAAAGCTCTCGTTGAAGATGTAATTAATTTACAGGTATGTTTTTAATTATGTGCGTGCTTAGTGCAGTTGGAACAGCGCCCCCTAGCGGCAAACGAAGGGAAGCCTTTCCAACTCCATACAAATTTGAGTTAACTTTTACGCGATCGAAAAGTTAAAAAACTCGCCCTAAGCACACTGGTACAAAATACTGGTCATAAGTTGTAGTTGTATGAATTCAGAGATGTTATGTGGTTTAAGAGTGCCTGCATATTTATTAACTGTTACACGAGATGCTTTAAGAGAAAACATGAAATTTTTTTGCGTCTTGTAAGTCTGCATGTGTGGATGAAATGGCGACAGGTCTCTGCAACAGCATGCGATCGTAGAATGCCCCTTCAGCTCAAAGGAAAAACTTACAAAACGATCATTCGACCTGTCGTGCTGTATGGATCTGAGAGTTGGGCGACGAAAGTTAAGCATGAAAGAGGAGTGTATGCGGCAGAGATGCGAATGTTGAGATGGATGTGTGGAGTGACAAGAATGGATAAGATAAAGAATGACTATATCAGAGGAAGTGTGAAGGTGGCCCCGGTAAACAACAAATTAAGGAGCGGACGGTTAGCGTGGTATGGACATGTGATGCGTAGAGAGAAGATGCACGTGACTAGGAGATGTATGGAAATGGTAGTGCAAGGTAGAGGGGGAAGAGGTCGACCGAAGAAGACATGGATGAAGTGTGTGAATGACGATATGAGAGAGAGAGAGGAGTGAGTGTTGAGATGACGGCTGACAGAAGAGAATGGAAGAGAAAAATTAGCTGTGCCGACCCCACTTAGTGGGATAAGGTGGAGAAAAAGAAGAAGAAGAAGTCTGCATGTGTGGGTACCACCACCTTGCCTATTTCTGAATCAGTAATACGCTTCGATTTCGAAGGTTTCGAAGGGTAGGGCAGACGTTATACTATGAAAACGGAGACTTAGAACTGGTCAAGATGGGTGCCGGCATTGACGTGGTTGATGTCTATCGGCTCCAGTGACACCACAACACCAGCTGGGCCGTGGGCTCGCCCAATAAAAAATAATAATTCAGTCAGATTTCATGGCACTGTACCCGCTTTCAGTACTACGGTGTTAATCCAGTAGGTGTAAGAGCAATGTGTTTATCATTGACAAACAACAAGTACGTGAAACGCCTCGACTTGTCATACAATCAATTGTCGGAAGACGCTTGTTACCATTTGGGCGAGCTGCTTGGCGACAATTTTAATCTTAAGGAATTGGTATTGACGGGATGCAGGTAACATTGGCTTATCTCTATTAAGTTATTAACATCACCATTCGTAATTTGAAGCATTGTCACATTGTTTATCAACTAAAATATATTAGGCGATTTAAAAAAAAAGGAATAAGCTGTCAATACGTACGTATTTGGTACCCGCCTGGGGTTCGAACACCGGTCGATGGCTCAACACGAATGCACCGGACGTCTTATCCTTTAGGCCACGACGACTTCATATTTGTGTGTGTTAACTCAGTATTTTTTATAGGTGAACCGATTTGGATGGTTCATTTTCGTTTGAAAGTTGGTACCTCTCATTGGATTATAATTTGATCAGGATCTGACCTGAATTTTTTGCGTTATCTAATAATAAAATTTTGTATTAGACTTTGCGTCAACATGATTTTGGTTTGACGTTGAATTTTTCTATAATAATTAGGATAGGCACCGAAGGCATACGGAGACTAGTCGTAAGGTTATCGGCGCGGACTATGAAGGAGCTGGATTTGTCAAAGAATGAGTTTGGCGAGACGGGTTTTAAATATTTGGCCGATCAGATAGCAAACGGCGCGGTCATTAAAAGGTAAGCTAGTTGAGTTATCGTATATTAGATTCAATTGTTACGCGCTGATGCTCGAGATAAATAAAACTTTCACCGATGTACAAAATAAAAATGTGTGGTGTCGTGGGATACCGGATAGGAACGAAGTTTCTTATTATAAAGGTATTAATTTTAAGTTCTATTCGAGGTATAAAGAAAATAAAACTGGAGGTTTCGCAACAACCCACGGTCATTCCTTAACTTGCGAACTTATTGTGGTACACTTCATTCACGGTTTTTTGCATAAGAGTTAGTGTATTGCGCAAACGAACGCTCTGAGATCTTGGTCAATGAATGATAAAAAAATATGTTATTTTTTGTACGTTATTACAAAGTTAAGTCGTACAGTATGTGCATTACTAATAAAAATCTTACGTCACGGACGTGTTTTCCCGGTAAGGGTACCCCTCCGCATCGTCCCATAAGGAACTTCGTTCCAAGACTCTATTTAACACTTAGAACACTTAGGCGCAGTTCACAATTCGAAATTCATCTCTTCCGCTTCACCATTAAGCTTTCGTTAAATTAAAAAAAAAACTACTTAATTTTTATTATATGATCTTGAATTTTCAATTTCTATGGAATAATGGCCTGTCTTTGATCGGGTCAGAAATATGATGGATAGTGACGGCTCAAATATTAGTTCTTTCTTCTGGAAACTACTGGTTAAATTATATTTGACATTGCTTTGCCTAAAACACAGAAATCTTAACTTATAATGATAATTTTTTTTGGGATTACATGTTTTTTTTATCTTAGATTGAATCTTAGTAACAACGATTTGGGAGAAGGATCAGCCGAAGAATTGGCAGCTGCTTTAGAAAGGAACAACACTATAAAGTGTTTGGATTTGTCTTGGAATCAATTGTTCAGAGGTTAGTACAGAACTTGTAATTTAGTTTAGCGTTGAAATTTGAGTTTATGTATTTAAATGATGATTGTTGAAGCTTGTGTAGAAGGCGAAGCCCACTAATTTTTGGAACGAAGTTCCTTATGGGACTGGATAAAGAGAAAATTAAAAAGTAATAATTTAAAAACGCAAGGTTATTAGCGAAACTAGTTACATTTATCAGTAATGAGTTAGCAATGGAATAGTCGAATCGCGATGCGGCCGGGCGGTGGGTTCGTCTGACGAAACTTTTAGTTGGCTGTATCATTCTGGTCGCGTGGGCCTGATACAGTCTGTCATAAATATTAAACAGGACACGGCTCCGACTCCCTCGCGTTTCATTTTCAACGTGCTTCCTGCCTTTTTTCATTGCTGGGACGTTTACTTTAGAGTAATTGAAAAATTTGGTCTCTTTTTTTTGAGGTTAAATTACGTATCGAGTTTTTCTTCATCAAATGAAAAGTTTCAGCATATATAATTCAATATGTAAGCATTAAATATGTAATATAATTCCTATATTAGGATTATCTTCTCTGTTATATGTAATGTACCTACACTTACACGGGATGTCATTTTGACAAGCGAAACAGATGCATTTAAGGCTTAAATCTCGGGTTTCAAGTTGGAAACCGACATTAACTTTGTGGGATCTATGGCTCTTGATAATCTTTTAATAGCATACTCGAAAGAATATTGAAAGCATAATAATTATATGGCTGTCCTTTAAAAGGATTTTTTCTTGTTTTCGACTTTATATTTTTATTCGCCATTAGTCCATGAATTTAAATGGCGGCCAGGCTACACCAGGTAGGCTGTGAGTCTACGAACCTCCTCCTCCGTGCGTCGTATTCCTCAGTTCTGAGGGTCGTGACCTTTACTGAGCACTTTTGTTAGGACTATGTTCCTCCATTCACTTCTGTCCTCCACGCAGTGGATAGCGACATTGATGCTGGATTCCAAAGTCATCTTAATCTGATCTTAATACGAACATACGTTGGCAAAAAAAAAAATTATTACATATTTTATGTTTCATCTCTAGCAATTGTTTCGCAACGCACAATAGGCGCAATATTTGTTGCATTAATATTCAATGTAGAGACGATTTCTTTTACGATACCGTCTGCAAAACCAATATAAATAATGAAACTTGATTTAAAAATTGAATATCCTAATTAATGTAGACACGTTTTGCTGTGTGATGTTTTAGGATCAACTGCTTTTATAATAGAGCTGTGTCGGAGCAGGGTGCTCAAGGAATTGAATCTGGCATGGAACGGATTGTTTGTGGGTAGACCTATTTCGTACCTACTAACTGTGCCCACATTGACGACTTTGGATCTGAGTAACAATAAGTACGTATCTTAATTGTATTGCAATCACTAAGTAGGTATCGTAAGCTCACGGTCTATTTATGGATTCGACAACGTGAATAAAGGTTGTGCCGAAAAACAAAATACCCAGGCATCATTTAAATAAGTCACTAGTATCTAGGACATGTATGGAAAGAGTAGTGTAAGTTAGAGGGGGATGTAGTCGACCGAAGAAGACATGAATGCAGTGTGTGAATGACGATATGAGAGAAAGAGAGAGTGAGTGTAGAGATGACGGCTGATAGAGGAGAATGGAAAAGAAAAAAATCGTTGGGGACAGATAAGAAGAGGAAGACATAAATAATTGGCAAATTATCAAGCCGATGTCATATTTCGTTTATATTCGAACATAGTTTTAAAATACCAATTAAATTAAATTGTTTGACATAAATCAATATGGGCCAATGAAGTTCAAACTTTAAACAGCATTCCGTAAAGTCTATATTTGTGACGTTTTAATTCCTTCACGCATTGAGCCCCACAGTGGTAAAGTGGTCTGGGCAAACGTAAATTTTCATTTCTTTGTGTTCTTTGTGGTCTAATTGGAATGGATTAACTAACAAGACAGGTACACAGTCTAAATTAGCTTTGACGATGTTTAAGGTATCAAATATCGCGTGCGGCCCCCAACAAGGATCGAGTTGTTTCCTCATTATTCCTCAACAAGGCACTTAACGCTTATTCTGGTCACATTATTAAGAGCGTCTTACAGCCAGTTAAAGAACCATAAAATATAGTATTGGATGCTTAAATCATTAAGAAGCTTGTTTTTAATGAACAACGAATTGCGTTTTAGTCAATGGGCATAAATTACACTTTATTTTACAGGATTTTTTGTTGCATTTGTGGATGAACAAGCTCTGGGCTACATCTGTGTGCTTAGTGCGATTTTTTAACGTTCTCGATAGCGTAAAAGTTAACTCAAATTTGTAAGGAGTTGGAACAGCGCCCCTAGCGGCAAACGTTACGCTATAGAGAACGTTAAGATAATCGCACTAAGCACACTGGTGTTAAGTGATTATGGGAGACAATTGACGTCACGGCGTGAATTCCGTCACCCACTTTTAGTCCTAATTTCTAAGTCTACTTCATGGGTAATTAGAGTTCGTAGATCATTTAATGCCCATTTTGAGACATTAGGATCAAGTATCAGTTGAATAGAAATGGCCGGTATTAGGACCTGAAGGAGGAGGAACCATGCCAATAGCTTTAAAGGGCCTATGCTCTCCTTTGCCAAATCATCTGTATAGTTTTGTTGTTTTACATCTCACACTGCACCGGTCGTATACTGATGCTCATGTTAGAATTCCAATTAATTGTTTACTTCAAGTATGCAATACGTCAATTCAATTTGTAGGTTGATTCCGCGAGCGATAAAAGCTATTGCCATCAGACTCAGGCTAGCTAAAAAACTGCACACCCTGAACCTGTCACACAATCCCGTGACTCCTGCAGACGCTTTCCTGCTCCTCAGTAAATTAAGACTTAAAACGGTTGGAATTAAAGTATTGTTACTGGATGGTGTCGGAGTCTCGAAGGAGTTCGTTGACGTGAGTGTAGTATCAAGATCACCACTGTTGTTGCCGAGGAAATTGTAATTTTTCTTGGTTAAAACGGATTTTGGTGTTTTTTTAATTGGTGATATGGATGAACGAGCTCACTGCCCGCATGGTGTTGAGCGGTTATCGGATCACATAGACATCTACAACGCAAATGCCGCCACACACTTCGAGACATGAGTTTTAAGTTGTCAGTTATTTCGAGTATAACGGCTGCCCCTCCCTTCAAACCCTAAATGGGAATGCATTACTGCCTCACGGCCGAAATAGGTAGGGTGGTGGTACCTACCCATGCGAACTCACCAGACGTCCTACCACCAGTATCACTACCACCTCTCGTTTTACATATACTACATACTGCTGTGACAAATGATGGATTTAATAAAACATGATTCGAAAGTTATACTTTTTTATTAAATGACCAGTCAGAAATCACCAGTACCTATGTCTTTTTCGAGATTGTTCTAAAATATCCAAATACAATACTGAGTGGCTAGCCATTTAACAGGACAGTGACAGGAAAGGTAGATGGCAAACGTCCCAGAGGACGCAGTCTCACGAGATGGTCGGACCAAATACGATCTTCTCTAAATATCAACTTCCACAATGCCCTTCATGAAGCTAAGGATCGCAGCAGATGGAGGGAAATCGTACGGGTGAAACTGATGCAGCGGGGGAGTCACGACCCTCAGTAATGAGGAAAACAACGCGAGGAGGAGGACCCATTTAGCACCAGGGGTCGTGAGCTCGTTCACTCGTCTAAACATTAAAATCAGGCTGAAAATCATAAGTCTAACAAATGTGGAGTGTTTTTAAAATGTTTATTGTGCAAACTAAGAACTCATGATTTAAAGTCTGCATTTATCGGGATTTTTTTTCCCCTATAGTGTAGGTGACGGCCAATTTATAAAACTGCCAGACTTTAACTAGGAATATAATTTGTTTCGATTTTTCATTCAGGAACGAAAAGAAATCTTACAATTGGATTATAGAACCGATACGTCAGTGACCTACGGCCATGTGATACGGAACTACACGTTGTCAAAGCCCGACTTGCGGGCTATTGTTCTTAAGCGAATAGACTTTTTAACAAGTAGAGCATCTAAAAAGAACCAATTGGATATTGGGTTAGAACCTTCAGATGATATTCGTGACCTATACCTATGTCGTGTTGGCAAAATATTGCCAAATTATCGTAAAAATCGTATTTCTGCAGTAATGCGTTTCGGTTTGAAGTGCGGGGCAGCCGTTGTAACTATACTGAGACTTTAGAACTCATATATCAAGGTGGGTAGCGCATTTACGTTGTACATGTCTATGGGCTCCAGTAACCACTTAACATCAGGTGGGCTGTGAGCTCGTCCACCCATCTAAGCAATAAAAAAAAGAGTACTTAGGTACATAAGCTCTGCATGAGGTAGACTCTCAATGGCTTATTTGGTACAGACCTGACTCATAAGTTCGTCTTACTTTTTGGAGTTTACTCCTTTAGAATCGATTTACATATATAGGCCCGGGGTATGAAAATTATGGGGATCAAAATCGTACTAGCATGTCACACGAAATGCGTTATGCGCCTGATTGGCTCCTGATTGCGTGATGCGTGCGCGCGCCAATCAGGAGCCAACGCGCGGCCGCGTTATCGCAGGTGACGCCGGGCTGCTGCGCCGGCAGTCCGCCACAAAGCCTCGTACTGATCGCGCGTTTCTCTCATTATTGTATTTTCATATATTTGTTAGTCGTTTGTTTTGTGTCTCGTTAATTTGTTAATAATCTGTAGTGTATCGTGTTGTCGTAATATAGAACTATTTCTCGTATTGTTTCGTTTAATTTTTTATATCCAGTAAACTCCAGTCGTGCGTCGGAGCGGACACACACACTTTTCTTTTTTTTGGAGTTTACTCCTTTAGAATCGATTTACATATATAGGCCCGGGGTATGAAAATTATGGGGACCAAAATCGTACTAGCATGTCACACGAAATGCGTTATGCGCCTGATTGGCTCCTGATTGCGTGATGCGTGCGCGCGCCAATCAGGAGCCAACGCGCGGCCGCGTTATCGCAGGTGACGCCGGGCTGCTGCGCCGGCAGTCCGCCACAAAGCCTCGTACTTATCGCGCGTTTCTCTCATTATTGTATTTTCATATATTTGTTAGTCGTTTGTTTTGTGTCTCGTTAATTTGTTAATAATCTGTAGTGTATCGTGTTGTCGTAATATAGAACTATTTCTCGTATTGTTTCGTTTAATTTTTTATATCCAGTAAACTCCAGTCGTGCGTCGGAGCGGACACACACACTTTTTTTTTTTTATGGTCGGGCCGATCCTCCTACGAGGTTCGCGTGTTTTCCCTAAAGAGGCGCGCGGGATACGTGGGACTGGGTGACCGAAGTTGGTACAGGCCCACCCACTAAACGTCTCTCCAGACCTACTCTGGCCCAACGCCTAATCCCCGTCCGAGACCGACTCTGAGAAAGGTAGTCCTACTGGTAGTGGGTACGTCCTAACGCCAGTATTAGATAAGTCATATGGCTGGTCGTTAATAAATAGTAAGATTGAATTGATTTTTACTGGTGGTAGCATCTCTTGAGACTCCGCGCGGGTAGGTACCACCGCCCTTCCTATTTCTGCCGTGAAGCAGTAATGCGTTTCGGTTTGAAGGGTGGGGCAGCCGTTCTAACCATACTTGAGACCTTAGAACGTATGTTTCAAGGTGGGTGGCGCATTTACGTTGTAGATGTCTATGGACTCCAGTAACCACTTAACACCAGGTGGGCTGTGAGCTCGTCTAGCCATCAAAGCAATAAATAAATAAAAGGATTATTCATTTCAGTTTAGTTCACCGTTGCATAGTTTCATTAATTTTTTATTGAATCTTCAGTCTGTACTTCTTACGGGAGTTGAAAACGCGAGAGGCGCCTCACATGATGCCGCGTGAATTAAACAGAGCTATGAGGCAAGCTGGCTTCGTCATGGACGAGGGACTTTTGGACGAGATCGGGAATGCTTTTCCGGGACCACGATTGGAAACCGGAGGGAAAACAATAAATTTACAGAGTACGTTTTTGAAATATTGAGTCTAGCGCATGTTTTTGTTGATTAAATTGGACATCATTAAGTCACAGCTATTTGAGTTATTCTAATGGACCCAAAGGTTTCGTTCCAGTTTGATGAGTGGAACAGCCGTTATATAATACATTTGAGACTTCGACCTCGTGTCTCAAAAGGAGTGACGGAACTCACGTAATGTTGTCTAAACAATTGAAGAAGAAAGCTGATCATAATTAGCCTTTCGTTAGATCAGAAATACATAGAAAGAACATTATAATTATGTATGTGAATAGTCATATCGTCGCTGTCAAACCAAAATCTGCTATGTGCAAAAACTCTATTTTGAATTAACGAGTATACTCATTTTCATAATTTTTTTATGTGAAAGTGAATTTTTAAGAACTATATTAAATGAAAGCTATATATAAATATTAAAGCTATAGACATATAACAGTTTTTTTTTATATGGTAGATAGGGCTGTGAACTATACGGAAAGGTCAAAAAGTAAAAATCTCAAAAAGTGCATATAGCAGATTTTGGTTTGACAACGACGATATGTACGATGAGTATTAATTTTACATTTATAACAGATGTAGCGGATTACATAAAACGTATATGGCCCGAGAAGAAATTGCCACCGACCCCTCCAGAGCCCGAACCAGAACCTAAACGAAAAAAGAAAAAAAAGAGGAAGAAGTATTTTAAGATTAAATGAAAAGACGACCTGTTTCTTTGACAGTTGTCTAGAATAAGTTTGGTAGTACCAGAAGTATGTTCAGAAGTAACCATTTTGTTTTTTGAAGTGAGAATGTCGCGGGAAGTATTGCCAGAAATAAAATTGTTAATCCCAAAATATTAGACGTAGTATGACTTTATCATATAAAATCTTCGATCATCAATAGTATTGTTGATCGAAGTATAAAATAAAATAATGTACTACGACTTTGTAGAACACATTATTATTTACAAAGAATGTCGCGACAGCATATGACTAACTATTATAGTTATGCCGCAATAAGTGTCCTTTTATTTAAAAAATAAAACAACCTCAAATATCGTTGAAATTTTGTTAAAGAACCGAGCGGAGCGGGTCGCTTGTTGTAAATAAAATTAAAACGGGTATTGAAAATTTTTTTTGGTTAATAATGTTCTGGGATATGAGTGTCGTGTTTTAATAAGGGGTTAATAGGGGATGTTTTCTTGGAAGTCGAATTGAATTTACGAGTATATGACAGACCTGAACACTCGCGTCATTTATCAGTATATTGTACATACTGTCTATCTAGTACGAAATTATATTTTTTTCATTTTCTGAATAGCTTTTAGGTTTCTTTTAAATATCGGTAATTTCTATGAGACCATTCATCAGTAAACACGTGGATTAAATTTAATACTGTGCGAAAATTTATACCAAAGAATTTGATTAAAAATAGTATTCGCAATTTCTCGGGCAATTTATTTAATTTATGAAGAAGATTGCCTCGACAAAAATAACGTCACTCCAGTTGTAGTGGGAGTTTCTGATCTCATTTGACTAAAGTGAAACTCTCCCTTGGAGGGGCCTTTTGTTTCTATGGAACAAATTTAAAAATACAAAACTGTTTGTCCCCGTTGAAGGCTAAATTAGTCATCGCGATACACGTTATCTTAAGATTGTCGTGCCTTGTAATTCGGGGGATATGTTTAATTCAGCTTTTGTGCTAAACTTTGTAAGAACGACTCGGTTGGGCCTCGGATTGACGACATTCCGTTATGAGTTTTCTGCTTTGTGTTTTGGAATTTAATTTAAGTGCACCGAAGGAAACTTTTGACATTATTGAAGTCGCATCGAGGAGCAAAAGTTTAATGACGTAAGACAATAATGGATTCACCATTGGATATTTTTGTAATACGCTTTTATTAGCTTCTGACTGATGTGTACACATGTATGTTTGTAACGGAATCTTTGAACATGATTTTGACCCCTTTCAAAACGTCGGTTTAACTCGAAATTTGGTATACTTATTAAGGACCGATGAAAATTCAATATTTAAAAAAAAAGGTGAAAAAAAGTATTGAAAAATTGAAATTCAACTAAAATCATCATCATCATCATCATTCCTTCCTATTACCCTCTGCTGGGGTGTAGGGCTCGAATCAAATTTTTCCATTTATTCAACTAAAATATGAAAAATAAATCATAGTTTAAAAAAACTAACAAAATACACTTTTATAGAAAATCGAACTAAAAAATAGAATTTTTTTTTAAATAAATTTGTATTAAAAATAGTGTAAGAAAAAATGATTTTAGAAAAAAGCGTGGGGTGCATGGTATAAGTAGTTATAAATATTTTATTATTTTCTAGTTGGATTTTCTGTAAAAGCGTATTTTATTAGTTTTTTTAAACTATTATTTATTTTTCATTTTTTTTTGTTTTGTTTTGCGTCATGCAATCAACGCACGTGTTAGCAATACTTCATTGCTGATCTCACACGAATAACGAGCACTTGACGCTTGAAACATTTTACTATGATGCACAATCAAGGCCACGGTGTAACAATAATGAAACTCGCCACACTGAAACCTTTATACCAGTGCCATTGTTTTTTTTATTGTTTAATTGGGTGGATAAGCTCACCTTTTAAGTGGTTACCGAAGCCCATAGACATCTACAACGTATACCGCCACTTACCTTGAGATATAAGTTCTAAGGTCTTCAGTATAGTTACAATGGCTGCCCCACCCTTGAAACCGAAACGCAATACTACTTCACGGCCGAAATAGGCAGAGTGGCGGTACCCTCCCTTGTGGACTTACAAGTGGTCCTACCACTAGTAATTACGCAAATAATAATTGAGAGATTAAGATTGCATTTACAACTGTCCAACCCTTCAAAACGTAATGCATGATTGTTTTACGAAACAAACTCGGCAATCGTCTTCTGCAAAAGTGGCCTTAGATGCTCTGCTTTTAATACTTGAGGTATAACAAAAGTGGTGGATTCTATTGCGGCCGTCGGTTGGTGAAGAAACAATTCCAGTAGCTTTCCAGCGTCTACTTTCCCTATAATAGCCGATAGCCGAAGTCTTCTACGTGGGCCTTAAAACAAAATTTATAATAGAGCAGTTAAAAAATCTCGTGAAAACCTGTCTGATTAAAGAAATTTCACATTTACCTAACAATAATTATTGCTTAAGCTTCTGAATCCGCATCTTCATTGACGAGTTTGCCTATAGTTTGAATTCGAGTTAAAATTCCCTGTACACAGAAGTCATCTAATGTAAATCATTCAAAAGTCACCCCTTGGCTGACTATGAAAAGTGTCGCAAAAGCATTTTTATTCCGTTAAAAGCGTCTCTAAAGTGTTTTAAGAGGCGGCGTAGATAAATAAATTTAAGTTTAAGGATAAATATTGACATTCCGAGTCGGGAATTAAGCACTCATAAATGATTTAGGAGAATCCATCTTATCTCGTTTTGTTGCCTTCGAGGTTATTACACGATAGATCCATCAGATTGTTATTCTACATTTTTTATTCCATCGTAATTGATACTATTTGTAAAAACGAGCTTTAGAAAATTGTGAGTTTTAATTTTAAACGTTGTTTAATGGTGACCCAAGTCCATAGACATCACAACTGAAAGGACGCCACTCAGCTTTCATAACAGCGGCCTCACCCTTCAAACCGGAAAGCAGAAGTAGATTTTACTTAAGTCCTTACCTTTCTTCTGACTTATCTTTCTCTACCCCCTTCTAATATCCATCTTGAGCAAATACAACTAAAGCATCTTAAGGTTGCTGCCATATTCCTACCAAATTCTGCCGCGAAGTAGTCCTAAAATTGGACCATGTCTAAGGGCGCGGTTAGCCACTCTATAGGCCTAGGCGTATCTAATCGATAAAATGTTGTTTGGCGATCCATCCTACCACGACATGTGGGCGATTGAATCACGTTCAAAGCAAGCAATTTGGAAAATGCACCACTAGGGAACTCGCTAAGTAATTCCCCCGAGTACGTGTGGCATAATGTAGCAAGCAGCGATAAAGTAACAGCTTCCGGTCTCTGTTAATGAAGATAATTAATGTATTAATTATTATAATAATAAAAGTAATTACCGGGAACAAATCACGCACATTCTTCTGGCCCTAATTTAGGATTTTCCTGTGTGATGGGTACCAGAGACTGATAAACATGCTTATATAGGTATGTGTCAATACATACGTATATAGATAAATTATCAGACAAAGAGTAAAAACAACTGTTCATTTTTTTTTGTTCTTTTTTTGTATATAGCATCGATGGGTTGACGAGCTCACAGGCCAACTGGTGTTAAGTGGTTACCGGAGCCCATAGACCTCTACAACGTAAATGCCGCCACCCACCTTGAGATATAAGTTCTAAGGTCTCAATATAGTTACAACGGCTGCCCCGCCCTTCAAACCGAAACGCATTACTGCTTCACGGCAGAAATAGGAAGGGTGGTGGTACCTACCCGCGCGGACTCACAAGAGGTCCCACCACCAGTAATTACGCAAACTACAATTCTACGGGTTTGATTTTTACTACACGATGTGGTTTTTTTACCGTGGAAGTCAATCGTGAACATTAAATTTGTTAAGTACGTATTTCACTAGAACAATAATTGGTACCCGCCTGGGATTCGAACACCGCTGCATCGCTCAACACGAATGCACCGGACGCCTTATCCTTTAGGCCACGACGACTTAACATGTTTTGCGACATTGCAGAATGTTTGCCCGATGTGGGAATCGAATCCACGACCCTCGGCACTACAGTCAGGGCCGCTAGCTACTGCACCGCCGTACAAAAGAAGCTTAGATGTACAAATAGATTATCATTTAAAAAAAAAAACGTGTGGTACTCGGGGACTGCAGCGGTAAAGCTATTGCATAGCATTTTTTAACTTATGCAATTATAATTAGACAATAATAATTTAATATTAAAACAATAATAAAATAAGACCACGCTATATTTATAAACATTAACAAAAGCAAAACATTAACTGTCTCCTTCACAATCATAAACTAGACCGCATGAGAGAGAGATGGGCAGACTTGTCATGATGCGCATGCAGTGCGACGTCACGCCGCGCGCTTATTCACAAACACTACATAAGTGCAACGCGAGCTATATGGTAGGCGGAGTGGGGTGTTAGGTTTTATTTTCGTTACGGAATATCTTGAATTGGTCACCGCGCTCAAAACCCGCGATAAAAGCCATGCAATAGCTTAAAAATGGTACATCTATTCGACTAGAATTATTGTATGACAACCGACGTTCATTGGCTTAGTAAGAATTTAAACTTATTTATCTATATGTATAATTTATGGTAGTATTGACTTTCATATTCGTTTTGGTATGGATAATTTATCGATGCAAAAGTCTTTTCCATGTATGTATTAGGTTCAGTGCGTGCACAAACATGAAACAATAGACAAGCGCGCGGTTGAGTTATTGGTGTCAAATTTACAACTGCCACGGACTCGCTCGCTGAACCAAAGTGAAAACTGCATAGTGAACTAGAATAGACTTAGGTTGTTCAAGTCCGTATATATTTTTCAGAGTCTGGGGGATATTAAATTATTCCTGTACGTCAGAGATCTTTAAATTGATATAAAAATAATCTTATTTTAATTAATTTGAAGCATCTTTCGTTATAAAGTATATTTACTATTTAGTTTATATTGTTGGTACAGTCAGATTTTATTTGTTT